TGGTCTTCTCCATAAGCTTTCTTCTTATGGTGTAGCTGGTAATGTCTTTAAGATTATTGAGTCCTTTCTTTCCAATCGTAGTATAAAAGTTGTCCTCGATGGACAACACTCTTCTTCACATCCTGTAACTTCAGGGGTTCCTCAAGATTCAATCCTTGGCCCTATACTCTTTTTAATTTACATTAAGGATCTTCCAGATATTCTCACATCTAAGGTGGCATTATTCGCTGACGACACTACCATTTACTCTTGTCATGATAAGAAGCCTACACTCTCTGATTGCTTGGAGGGGGTATCTGAGCTTGAAAAGGATCTCACTTCTGCTACAGCATGGGGCTCACAGTGGCTGGTGAACTTTAATTCAGATAAAACTCAATTTTATTCGGCCAATCGTTATCGTAATAATTTAGATCTTCCTATATTTATGAATGGTAATGTACTAGATGAGTCATCTACCATTCATCTTCTAGGATTAACTCTTACTTCTGATCTTTCTTTTAAACCGTATATCAAATCCATTGCAAAATTAGCATCTGCTAAGGTTGCATCTCTTTATCGAGCTCGACACTTTCTTACTCCAGATTCTATTCTCTATCTCTATAAATCTCAAATCCGTCCCTGTATGGAATACTGTTGCCACATCTGGGGCGGATCTTCTAATGATGCTCTTTCTCTTTTAGACAAGGTGCAAAAACGAATTGTAAACATAGTTGGACCTGCTCTGGCAGCCAATCTCCAACCTTTGTCACATCGTCGTAATGTTGCTTCTCTTTCTCTTTTCTACAAATACTATAATGGGCACTGCTCTAAAGAGCTAGCGTCCCTTGTGCCATCTACTAAAATTCATTCTCGTGTTACTCGCCATTCAATTAAGTCTCATCCTTTTTCTGTGACTGTTCCTAAGTGTTTCAAAAACTCTTATTCTTCTAGTTTTTTTCCTCGAACATCAGTTCTTTGGAATTCGCTTCCTTCATCTTGCTTTCCTGATTCATATAATTTGCAATCTTTTAAGTCATCAGTCAATCGTTATCTTGCTCTACAGATTTAGTCTTTTCTCTTCCAGTAACTTCCAACTCTTATAGTGGTTGCTTGCAACCTTGTTGGAAGTGAAGATGTTAAAAAAAAAAAAAAAAAAAATTTTTATTCCTGGAATCACCTTCCATCGAAAAGTATGCTTTTAAAAGGGAAGAAATGTAGTAGAGGCAAGTATTTTAAAAGCCGGCTAACCGGCTTTCTTAGAGAGTACGATAAAGTATTTTTCAAAAGAAAGCTTTAAGAAAGGTCGCCTCTAAAAAAAAACTTCCTTAATTTTATTATTTCTAATTAAATAGGATATTAGAGAATAGGATGAACAAAAAGAGAGAAATTTTTTTTTTTGATTGACAACGATTTATTCGAAAAATTGCAAAAATATGTAAAAAAGGTTGCAAAATGAGTCATTTTGAACCAAATTTTAAAAGATGATTATTTTATATGCATAAAATGAAGGGCGTTTTATATGCATAATATGAAGGGCATAAAGCAAAATTATTGCCAAAACACATCGTAAAAGTTATAGTTTTTGACTTTTTCGGGTCGGCTTAAGAAATGAAGCAGAAAAACATTAAAAACTCATGAAAAACTTTGTTTTTGACGCCAGTTTTATTTCAGACCCTCATTATATATCATTATATGTACAACAATCCCTAACAATTTCAAGCAAAAACCTCTAATCATTTATAAGTTATGATTTTTCAAAAATTACAAATTCCACAAACAAGCGAAAGCTAAAAAACAGCAATAAATATTTTATAACTAAAAAAAATATCAAAAACTTTCAGATGAGTAAAGTTTATTAGTTTCTAGTTGTTGTTCTTCACCTTGCTATCCCTAATAAATGGCTTTTCATTGCAATTTCCTAAATTTTCTTTCTAAAGTACTACTTTTTTTCATTTTGGTAATGCGTTTTTGGTTTTTAAAAAATGAGAATTTTTTTAAACCACCCTCAATGTTAAAGCAACTCATAGCTTTCAGAACATCAGCAATTCCCTCGCTAAAAAACAACACAGCTGAGTTTACTCCCATACCAAATAAACTTTTGTAAATAAAAATGTTTATTGAGAATCTGAACCATATACCATTATATATCCAGTATGGATATGTAATGATATTACATTATATACTGGTAAAATAATCTTTGGTGTCTAACTGTTCTTGCCTGCAGAGTTTCTTTTATTTTATTTACACCAGCTAGCTGGTGTAAATGAAAGAAAAGAAACTCAAATAGATGCATATTTAGAACATACAGGACATAACACATCGCTATGAGACTGCTCAGAAAAATTGGTGCAGTGGTAAAAACCGTGCAAATGTCTTTTTTCAATTGGTACACCTTTTCATTTTCAGTTAAAGAATTATTAGCTGCAGCCTGTTGATCGCCATATTAAAATACTTTGTATTACTTTGACTGCGCATTGTTTTAATTTTCCTTTTCCAGTTAACCGATTACCTTAATGTCGATCTAATACTATCAAAAATGTTCTTTAAAATAAAGAAGTTTATCATAATGTTATCTTCTTTTCAATGACGATAATTTTTAGTTTTTATTAACAAATTATCAATTAGAAATTTGTAAAACCATTTATACTTTCAATATTTACTTATGGTAGGGAAATCGGTAGAATGGCTACGAATTCTTCAAAGCTATTTGAAAAATTCTTATGCGATTTAATGAATCAGACATCAGTTTTAGATTTTTTGTGTATTGTTAACTATATACTATATATACATTTTTTTAGTTATTTTGGTGATGAAAGAAGACTTTATCATTATGCCTTATTACAGAGCATGGCGGAAAGGCATTTAATACGGAAGTTTACACCGCCTTCTTTACCAACGTTGCTTATCTGGCCAGAATCGGCATCAAACCTCTTTGTTCCAAGCCAGAACTTTTACCACTGCGCCACGTCTACTTATATATACTATAGTATACACTTTTTATAAAATATATATTTTAGTATATACTGTTTATAGTATATATTGCAAGAACTAGATATGCTATAAACATACATTAGTATATATTTAACATAAACCCACATTTTTTCCGTTTTGTTTGTGTGCAATTTAAAAAAATTTAAATAACTATTCTAAAACCACTCTAATCCCTTGAACATTTATGTCACAAATATTAAACATCAAATATGTTTAGTTAAAAAAAGTTTTTCAAAAGTATGTACTGTTGGATCTCAAAGTGCTGCCGTTATATAGTGGTGAGAGTTTTGACTTTAGAACTAAAGGTCCTTAGTTTGTAGCTGGCTTTGGCCGTATACGTAGGCCTTTGTAGTACTCTCATAAGACCGTAAGGACTTTTAGAACACACACCCAAATAATAAAAACAAAATTATAATTAAAAAATCTTATAGAACTCCCTTTTTTATTTTTAGTTTCTTTTCTTTGCCGTTTACTTTTGCAAATCAATAACATAATATTATCAGTCAATCAGAACCTGGTTTCATAAAACTAATTTTTGGCGCTAATCTAGAAGATACTATTGGTAGTCGGTATCTAGTATATAATTCTTCACACTGTTTGATACATTCGGAGCACTAGAAAGTTCGCGCCACCTTTCTTAACGACGTCGCATATATTTTCAGTGTAGACATTAAAGCTTGGATATCTCGATTCAGAAGTAACCGCTCCCACCACTGCACCAGCGGTGTCGTAGTGGTTGGAGAGTGGCCATTTTTTTTTTTTTTCTTCTCCAGGTGTACCATATAAAATATACATTTATTATCGTGATAAAAAGAAAAAATATATATAAAATTATTACGTATCAGATTGATAAAAATACATTAATATAACTTTGATACATTAATATAGTATTGATGCAAACTTAATATAAATTCTGGTATAATAACTATTATATATATGTTTATTTTTCTCTATACTTTAATACCTAAAAAAAGGAAATCAAAGAAGATTCAGCATTTTTGGATTTAAAACTCCAAAAAAAAATCTTTTTGCTTGGCCTATATCTATGTCTATATAAAAAATTAAGTAAAATTAGAAATAATTTTTTGTAATTAGCTTTGTAATTACTATTTCTACTGTTATATATATATATATATATATATATATATATATATATATATATATATATATATATATATATATATATATATATATATATATATATATATACATACACACATACATATACACACATACATATATATATATATATATATATATATATACATATACATACATACACACACACATACACACATACATACATATATATACATATACACATATATATATATATATATACATATACATATATATACACACATACACACATATATATATGTATATATACATTTTATTTATTTATATATATATATTTTTTTTTTACTTTTATTATTATTTTTTTTTTACAAACTAAGAATATGCAGCTTTGCTTGCCGTTTAAACGACGATATTCCATTTAAGTCTTTTAATTTTTGATTTTTCAAGTTTTTCCATATTTTAGGACCCTGTGACATAATTGAAAATTCAGAACCCCGGGTTTTAGTTTTTTAATATAATAGTTATGGAAGCTATTTGATCGTAGATTATAACTTTGAGAAAATGATGACGAGAATATGTCTAAAAAAGAATTTGGTAGCATATTATTTTTATATTTGAACATAAAAATAAGAATCTGATATAAATTTTTTCCAAGTTTAAGACTTTCATATTTTTCATCGCATTGGAAGGATTGTCCATTCTACCTAGATAATGAATTGCTTTACAAGCATGGTTTTGCAAGCCTTGTAGTTTGATTAATTTTGTTTATTATTATTTGAATGTGCATTGAATTTTATCAAAAAATAAACTTTTTTTTTTATTACTTAATGCTTATACCATAAAAACAGAAAATTCCACCATTTGGATAATATTTTTTAAATCGTAAACCATTTTAACTTTAAAATTATATTACGCCCGGCTTTTAAGCAACTATTAAAAGAAAAAGAGCGTTTGTGTCATTTTTAATTCTTAATTTAAAATTTTAGTTATTACATTAATTTCAGTGAGCAAAAATCAAGTGTGCGTCAATTTTACTATGACAATATTACCAACAACAACAAATACAGAGTATATAGTGGATTATAGTATGTTATTTATTTACGACGCCCTATATATACATAATAGGGCGTCGGCCCTATTATGTATATATAGGGCCGACGACACGGGTTTCAAAGTGGAGGGGCACAATCGTCAATTTTTAAAAAAAGTCCTCTATATCTAGGATTTTCTTTTAAATAAAAAAAAAGGTCTTTAAAAAAAGTAGGGGGCACGTACCCCCCCTCCTTCTCCGATGTCGTCGGCTCTGATATATACAGGGGCTATTCTAGACCGTTTTCGATAGCGTCGACCGTTTTTGGGCGCCACCCAAATTAAAATTTGGGGACTTTTTTTTTTTTATACATTTTTTTACGGCAAATATTGTTTTTTTTGCGGTTTCGCCGATTTTCCGGTTATACCCGAGAGGGTACCGCCGCCCAAATTTTTTTCCTAGAATAGGCCCTGTATGTATTTACATACACATATTAGATATGAGGTATTACATCAATTATGTTGAACAATAGGTGTTTTGAGATCAACAATGATTGGAAGATGACTTGGTTTATATTGTAAATCACATATTGAAGCATTAACAAATGTTGTTGTTCCGTCAGTCCAAACTCCGTATGCTAAAATAAAAATTGCATAAAAGAAAATTATTTCAATTTTTTTTTATTTCTAAACTTATTTGCTTCCAACAAGCAACAACTATTAAGTTAGGAGTTACTAGAAAAAAAAAAAAAGTTAAAGAGCAAAGCAATGAGAGACATAAGACTTGATTTGATGAAGGTTATATAAGGTACAAAGTCGGCTGCCGTTTCTAAACGAATCAAAAAAAATAAGACTTCTTGTTAGGACAGCAGTATAAAGACTTCTTGTTAGGACAGCAGTATAAAGACTTCTTGTTAGGACAGCAGTATAAAGACTTCTTGTTAGGACAGGAAATGTAAAAAGAGCACTTTAGAATGAAAAATCACTAATGTAGATAAGAAACAATACAGGACCAGGAAAAGAACCTTTTGATACCCCAGAAGTTACTGAAAATGAAGAAGAGTGTTGGCTTTTGAGTATTACTTTAATAGTGCAGTCAGAAAGAAATGATTTAAATACTGCTTCATATAGTTCATCTGAGAAAACAAAAAATATGGATTGAAATCTATATTGGTAATCAGAAAGTAAGATATTAGATTCAAGATGAGAGATTAAGTGTTTGTTAATCAGAGACTCAATAGTAAGAATAGTAAGAAAACTAATGGACGGTAGTTAAACAAGTCAGTCACTCTCAAGAATTTGAAAATAGGGATAATAGATGCCTCTTTCTCGCAGACTGGAAAACAAGACTATGATATGCAATTGTTAAATAGTTTTGAAAGTATAGACAATAGCTCTGGAGAACACTTCTGCAAGACTACAACAGGTTTGTTGTCTGGACCACAGGCTGCAAGTCACAGGCTGCAAGAGTCTAAGCAGGAAATCACTTTAGATAAAGAGGCTGGAGTGATACAAAGGTCAGGCAATGGATTACCTTTTTGTCAGCTATATCAGGTAGAGCACGACTAGTGGAAACATGATACTGATGAGAAGTTCTTAGCAAAACAATTCAGTTTTGTCTTTAGGTGAGATGACAAAATCTGAACCATACAATATAGGTGGAATAACAGATTTACCATTGTTATAGACACTGTTAAAGATTCTCCAGAAGTCATGAGAGCCTAATTTTTGAGATGAACGAGATTTTGATAAATCTGATAAATCTTATAAATTTGCATTATAAATCTTATAATGCAAAATTATAAGATTTATTAGGGGTTGATAGCCCAGACTAGGAAAAAATTAATATTATTTTATATATTTTAAATTTATGCATAAATTTCTTATTTATTAAATACTGGTATATATAAATATATATTTTTTAAACTAACTCACTTCCAACAAGGTTACAAGCAACTAGTAAGTGACCAGGGCCCAAGCCCCAGTCCTGTCTAAAAAAAAGGCTTTTTACAAACCCGGCCCTGGCAAAACTATAAGATTTAGCAAGGAGCTAGAAAAAAATTTATAATACTTCATATATTATAATATTATACTTACATTTACTATTTATCAAATACATATGGCATATATTTTTAGATTTTCAAACTCTAATCTACTTCCAACAAGATTGCAAGCAACCTCTATTAAGTTATGAGTTACTTTAAAATAGAGAAGATGTAAAAATACTAGGAAATGGTTAACTGAAGACTTTAAAAGTTGTAGGTTGTATATAAAAGAAAAACATGAAGATGGCTAAGAGTTATAAGGTTTTTTTTAATGTGCAAGGAAAAAAACCGGATTAATAAAAGTTTTTATAGCATAAAGGGACAGAAGAAGCCAAGCAAGAATGAGTTTTGGTTTATCATAATAGAGATGAAAACTCATCTGAGCATCAACCATGATGGTATTTGTAGAAAAAAGAAAGAAATCCAACCTTACAATAATGGGAGAATAGCTCAAGTTTGGCAGATAAAGCAGGTCTAATTAGATTTACAATGTGCTTTTGGACATTGTCTGAGAGTAAGAGGGTTGTTATTCATAAACAAAGGAATGCCAACACTATTGCAATATTTTTTTGCAATAAATAAATGAGTTTTGTTGCCTAACAAAAATTAAAGATTTTAAGTCCAGAATATAAATCCATAAGCCACTGCAAGCCATAGGCTGTTACAGATCAAGAGTATAAAGTTTACATTAAATGTAAAATTTTCATGAAAATCAATATTGTAGATAAGAACAATACAGAAGCAAAGATAGAACCTTGTGGTACCCTTGAAGTTACCCTTGAAGAAATAAAGAAGAGTGTAGTACTTAAAGAACAACTTTATTAATGCAATTTGAAAGAAATAATTTAATAATCTCAAAATCTTTATTCAAAGAAACTAAAAAAGACTAATCGTAAGATAGTTTGATAGGTCAAAGTGTTTTCTAGAGTTTTGAAAAATTGGAACCACTTATCTATCACTTTTTAAAAAATTAGCAAAAATTGAAGAGTTATGGAGAACTTTAAGACTTTGATAAAAATCTTGTCTAAAGCACAAACTGTGGAAGTGTTTAATTGAGAATTAACTTTAGCATTGGAAGCCAGGCAAGCTTCCAAACTTATAGTCCAGAAGGAATGAAAGCTTCTGAGATGCGCTTTATGCATACATATTATGGATATAAACATATATGTTTGATATTCATTTAGATGCTGGCATACAATATCCTTTCATTTTTATATAAACTTTAGTATTTATACAGTGTAGTATTTGCCGAAAGAGAAGATAATCAGATGATGATGATGATGATGATGATGATGATGATGATGATGATGATGATGATGATGATGATGAAGATAATGATGATGGTAATGATAATTATGATGATCATAATAATGTTTATATATGCATATATATACAAAATATAACATGAATTCTGAATTAAATAATATATACTTTAGGATGTGTAAATGTTTATACAGTTCTAGTCACAAACCCAGCCCCAGCTATATTTTATCAAACTTGGCCCGGACTCAGGTCAAATATCAACCCCAGCCACTCGAAACAAGCAACCACTATTAGTTTTTGAGTTACTAGAAAACAAAGGGTTAAAGATTAACTGAAGACTTAAAAAGTTGTAGTAAGGAAAACATAAAGATGGGTGAGAGTTTTGAGATTTTGTCAATGAGTAAGGAAAAAAACTAGATGAATAAAATATTTTGTTGCGTTAAAATACAAATACAGTAAAAAGATGCAACTCTGTTGAATGACAAGTCAAGAGAAAATGAATTTTGGCCTACCAAGCCACTGCAATCCAATATATATATATATAATATATATATATATATATATATATATATATATATATATATATATATATATATATATATATATATATATATATATATATAACTTTCAAGTATAATAATCATTTTCAAGTATAAAATTGTTAAATACAAAAACTATTTAGTATATAGTGAAAACAAACAATTAATTTGTCAGTCAAACAAAAGAAAACATGAAAGGTGTGAAACCCTATGCCATAGAGTAATGGAAAATGTAGATAATTAGTGTAATACATATGTCTTAGAATAATAGAAAAGATCTACTAAAGCTGGAGTAATAGCGTGTAATTAAAAACCTGTTTATCAAGATCAGGTTTTTCCCACTCAATGTGTAATGCTTCTTTGATTTTTAACTGATGCAAAGTTTGGGCATAGTCTAATACTGAAAAAGAGTCTTGGTTGGCTACATTAAAGCAATTTTTTGAATAAATATGTTGATTTAAATGAGAAGTTATTGTAATTTTAAATAATCCTAAATTCTTTTACTCAAATATTGAGTGGTTTGACCCACATAACAAGCATTACAGCCTTTACACACAAATTTATATATGGCATTTGAGCAGAGATGTTGAGGAGTTTTATCTTTCGTTGAAAAATATGTTTTAATTTTGAAGGATGTGAGAGCCAATTTAATATTAGGAGTTTTACAATTTTTATTGCATAAGTCATTTATTTTATTTTGAAATTGTTTTGACATTTTATCAATAAAATAAATTTATTTTTGAGGAATCAATAATTTCTTTTTTATATAGTGTTTAGGTAGGTTTTTAAAACACTAAAACGCTGTTTTTTCAGAGAATATGTTCAAGTTTAACTAAATCAAAATATAAATTAGACCATTTATTGTTAGTTTTATAAATCTTATCTATTAAAGTTTTTATGAAAAAAAAATTTGTATGAAATATTGGCATAACTAGTGAGTAAGTACTAGTTATACCATATAAAGTAATTTGTTAATAAACCTGAGAAAGTTTTTTTCTAAATATGCTAGTAGGTTAAATAAATTATATTTGTTGTTGTCAATAAGAATATCTAAAAAAGCTAATTGTTGATTTACATCTTTTTCCATGGTAAATTTAATATTTTTGTGTTGATGATAATTAAAAAATTTAAAAGAGTCGCTTTTAAATAAAAGAAAAATCAGCATACCTGTGATGAAACAAGTTATCTGTGTAGTTTAATTAACCTAATTTTTCCATATGATTTATAAATAGATTAGCTAAGATCCCAAAGAAGGGATCCCATAATTATACCATCGTGTTGTTCATAAAATTTGTTATTAAATAAAAAATGACTTTTTGAGGTGAAAAATAAGAAAAATTTAAAGAGTTCTTTTTTATTACTTTTGAAATTAGGATTGTTATCAATAATAAATTTTACAGCTAATTCTAAAGCTTCCTCTAATGGTATATTTGTAAACAAATTTTCAACATCAAACAGCACCATATATTTATTTAATGTGCTTACCTTATTTAAATCCTAAATGAATGTGAATGAATCTTTTGGTAACAATTCGGTGTTTATGTATAATTTTAGAAGAGAACCAAGAAATTGTATAAATTTTGTAATCAACTTAATTAATCAACAATTTATTAAAAATCCAGTTACTTTACTGTGGCTAATCAAGACTCTTTTTCAGTATTAGACTATGCCCAAACTTAGCATCGATTAAAAATCAAAGAAGCGTTACACATTATGTGGGAAAAACCTCATCTTAATAAACAGGTTTTTATAGTGTATGTATTACTCTAATTATCTACATTTTCCATTATTCAATCACATAGCATTGCAATTGCATAGGGTTTCACACCTTTCATGTTTTCTTTTGTTTGACTGACAAATAAAATTAATGTTTGTTTTCACTATATATTATATATATATATATATATATATATATATATATATATATATATATACATATATACATATATACATATATACATATATATATATATATATATATATATATATATATATATATATATATATATATCACTAATAGTTTTTGTATTTAACAGTTTTATACTGAAAATGATTATTGTATAATTAAAACATGTTGTTGAGACTGAGAGAAATTGTTATATTTATTACATATATATATATATATATATATATATATATATATATATATATATATATATATATATATATATACATATACATATATATATATATATATATACATAAATATATATATATATAAATGTATATATACATACATAATATATATATATATATATATATATATATATATATATATATATATATATATATATATATATATATATATATATATCTGTATATTGTTACACAATAAAAATATATTTAATCTATTAAAAACTAACCTTCATGAATATGTCCAAACACATGTAGTTTTGGTTTTATTCTAAGTTGAATAGAAGAAAGCAACTCTGCACAACCTGCTCTTAAACCAGAAGAGCAACAATCACCATAGCCTAATGGAGGTCCATGAGTAATCAAAATATCAGTGTCATCAGGAATCATATTCCATTTTTCTAAACATTTTTCACCACGCTCAAGATTATATGCCCAACCACCAAATTCAGGCTGCCTGTAGATTTTAAACATACTTTTGATACAATAACATAACTAAATTATTGTTGGCTAAAGCCAAAATTAGCTTGTTATATTATTGTGAGGATTATATTTAGTACATTATTACCAATAATATAAAAACTAAAACTTCAGTTACCTAATAAAATGATTATTAACTTGGATTTTATGTTGTATATATGTATGTATGTATGTATGTATGTATGTATGTATGTATGTATGTATGTATGTATGTATGTATGTATGTATGTATGTATGCATATATGGTCATGACAACAGGTGAGGCTTTTGATGAAGGTAACATTCTAGGAAAAAGAAAAATCTGATAAAAAACCACCAATTGTAAGTAAGGATTGTAGGACATACTCAATAGTTAATTGTCTACACATTGTATTTATTTTTATTCATTATATTATTATCTTTTTTTTAAACATAACACTTATTTGTAATTTGTTTAAAAAAAAAAATTTAATAAAAAAGATGAATGTGCATGTGATATGTGTCATGAAACTATAGATGTGTAACTTTAGCAAAATAAAAAAAATAACTGTAATAAAATAAAAGTACTAATGTTAGTTTTATGTAAAGTTTCTCAAATTCATCAAATTAATTTTTATAAGTTCTGACATCAACGGTAACAACATCATTGGTTAGACTGTTCCATTTATTAAAAATCCTATTTGTGAAGTAACATGTTCTTGCTTATGAAACTTTTTGCTTGTGCAATCTTTGACTATGGTCTCATTTTTTAAATATAAAACATCTCCAATGTAATTTAGGAGTATTTCTTTTTAATTCTATTACATTTCCCCTTAATTTTTATTTTTCTGTTTTTAACCAAAATTATTTTAATCTCAGCTCATAATACATACTATACTAAAATTTATGTTTATCATCATTCTTTTGTGCGCTACTGTATGAAATATTAGTAAAATATAGGTCAAAAAAAGTTATATCTATTCAAAATCCAAAAAAACAAAATCTAATATCTCTATTAAATTTGTACATCAGTTTTAATGCCAAACAAAGCTATGCTGATAATCTGATAATAGTTTATTTTCTACAAAATATTTCATCAGTGTCTCTTTTTGTAATCTCCATTACTTTGCATACAACAGATGTTAATGAAACAGGATGACTGTTTGTTGCTTTAAGTTTTTTTTTTTTTTTTTTTGAATAAAGGAATAATATTTGCACACAACCATGCACTCAAAATTGTGTTACTTGAATATGATGAATTAAAAATAGTTGACAATATAAAGGAAATTTAGAAAATTAATTAGAATACTCCATCATAACTTTTGGATGCAATTTATTCTCTCTGATAGATTTATTAATATTTAATTTACATTACTTTTCTGTAACAGTCTCAACATTTATTTCCAGATTTGCAATAAAAGTAGCAAATATTTTTTTTAAAACTTTTTCAAAAAGCATTTCCCAGTTAATTTTATTAAAGGGTTTGTTCAAATTAATAAAGTTCCCTTTATAAAACATACTTTCTTTTGCATATAATTGAATATAATATAATTTAGAACTTTTTTTGGTTTTTTGAAGCAAAAAGAAAGAATATGATTCCCATTTAATCCATGTTGAAGCGGTGGGTGGTGTACTAAATTGAAAATTCTTGAATTTTTTTTTATTATTAAAAGATTTCAAATATTTAGATTTTTTTAATTTGTTTGGTTAAAATAAAGTTTTAGAACAGAATTTATATAAGCCATCTAAAAGCAACTAAATCTAAAAGCAACAGTACTGTTTTATATTTTTCAGTTTACTAACACAATTTCATTATGATATATAGATCCACATTTTTTTTAACCATTGTGAATAGAACACCAAACTTGTTAAATTAGGTTACTTGGAAGTTTAATCTCCAAAAATTTTAAAATAATAATTATATATACACATTCTGATACCCTTTTCAACAGCTTTATCCTTTCTATCCAATACCAATTTTTGTTGCCAAATTATCTGACCACCATGTTTTGAATATGATAATTGAATGTAAATTTCACTCAACATCAACTAATAACTCATTATTATTGTTATTTATTTAGTTTTTGAAAAAAAAAATTGGATCGATGTTTCTTTATTCACTCTCAATCTGTCGTTTGAGACATTTACACCAAAAATAATGTATTTGTTTGCTTTTTTTTCACATTCTTTTGTTTCTTTGGCAGCATTATTAATCATTTGCAATTGATTTTGTGGTTGCTTTTTTTAACAAAATGATAATTTATTAAGATAACTCATTTTTATGATTCAAACAACATTCTCTTGTTCTCCTACATGTCTAGTTAGCTCATGATTTTCTAATGTTAATTGATTAATCATTGTTAAATCTTTAACTAACTGTTTTGAATTCTATGAGTATTCTGTTGATTAAACATCAGCCACAATCGAAAATTTTAATGGAACATGCTCTTTATAATTTACTAAACTTCCCCAGCTGAAAATTTGGTCAATGACACTCATAAGACAGATACATTGTTACTAAAAACACCTGGAAAACATAAACACAGATATGAGTACGTTGTCAACTAGGTTGCAACAAACTTAAGTTTGTTGGTGAAAAAATTATAAAAAATAAAACAATAAACTTACAACTACAAAAGTAATAACACTCTAGTCACTTAGGTCTTATAGAAGTAGATAAGTGAAGAACTTTGTTTATTTTATTGTGTATATATATATATATATATATATATATATATATATATATATATATATATATATATATATATATATATATATATATATATATATATATATATATATATATATATATATATATGTATATATATATATATATATATATATATATATATATATATATATATATATATATATATATATACATATATAATTTGAGAAATTTGAGAAATGTCAAGTCCAAATGATAACATTCCTAAAATTATTTTTCTTTTTTCTACAGAGCAATCTTTGTTTTGCCCCTTATTCAATTACTACAAGAAAGTTAAATGTACATTAGAAATAATATTTACAATATTTGAGGTCAACAATTTATTTCCAACCTCATTTTTCTATATATATATATATATATATATATATATATATATATATATATATATATATATATATATATATATATATATATATATATATATATATATATATATATATATATATATATATATATATATATATATATATATATAATAAAACCCTCAGTTGATGTAGCAGCACTCCATGCGGCAGCAGCCTTTAAGATGTATGTACTGAAGCTTTTGCTTGCCAATGTATGTACTGAATGAAGTACTGAAGCCAATGTATGTACTGAAACCTTTTTTTACTGTTTGTAAATGTCCCTCACTATTGTATATATATGCTGTTATTAAGTGGAAATATATTGATTGATTGATTTGCAGTAGGTTATTTTAGTGTGATGTTAGAGATCTAAATACGCATTAATAGTCAAATCAAAGTGTGGTTTTATATGTTTGTGTGTGTTTATGTGAACGTATGCATGTGTATGTGATATAGAGCTTTATCAACTTATTTATAGTTATTCTTTTTTTTTTTTATACCATGGAGAGCCATATATTTTAAAACCATTAATGTAAAGGGCTTCATCTTCAATGTATGTACAATTTTTTAGTCTTTTTTTAATTTCTGTACTGCCAATTAGATTGGTTTTATACATATTTGTAGAGTTTTTAGCAAATGTAATAGGATCAAAGGATAACTCATGATTGCCACTAATAACAATAATGTGCTTATATTTGTTTTTATGCTGATTTAGAAATTCGTTAAAATGATCTATTTCTTCAACTTTGCCCACGTTTGAGAAATCTCCGGCATGAATTAGAACATCACCTTCAGGTAAATCTAGTTGTTTTGTTTTATTATGAGTGTCAGATATAAGAACAAATCGAGTATGATCCTTTATTCTTGGTTTTACTGCTGTAAAATCAAGTGCATTTAGTTTTTTTTGAACTTTTTTTTGATGTACATACAGTTTTTCCCACAACTTAGTTGGATTTGCAGTCATAGCATTAACAATAATTTTAACGGTACTGTTTGTGTTTCCATGCTTTTCCATTCGATTAAGGTATTTTGTCACAGTAGACACTTCTTTATTAGATTCCTTTTCTTGTTATTTGTAACGCAGGTTTATACGACATAGTTTTACTGACAAGTTATGCAGTGTTTACTTACACATAATAATATTATGACTCATATTATATCTTATTATACCAGCGTTTCTAGGGAGCGTATAAACCAAACTTTTTTTTGCGTAAAGGTTGGTTTCCACATATCTAAAATGGTCGCGCGACAGTCGCGGACATCTCTACGACAAAATCTCTACAGAAATATCCTGTGCTGTATGACAAATTCGATACAGAGTTTAAGAACAACGTTATTAAAAAAAATGCTTGTACTTTTTACATTGGCATAAACTAATAAAAGTAATTATAAGAAATATTTTTTATTTTACAAAAATTTTTTTAGTTTAATAATTAAAAAGATACTATTTTTTACAATGGTTAAATGTGTACATTGATCATAGGGATATGACGACGAATCTTGAAGATAAAACAGCAACAGAGATACAAAACAACAATAACAGAGATATAATAAAAAATGTTGAAGAATTACCTTTGTCATGTATAAGTGATGAAAATATGAATTATGATGAAGAATTTAGTAATCAGGAAGAATAAGAAAAAGAAACTTTAAATGACAATACAAGTGTGTTAACTTTATCTAATACATGTAGGCCAAGTACATCTGGTAATCAACAAAAATCTTTAAATGAAATAATATCTCCTATGAATATAAGAAAAAAGAACTTAAAAAGATCTAATCAAAATACAAAACTAGAAGATGCAATACTCACTACTATGAGCAATATTATTGCAACATTAGGAGTTAGTGCACTTGAAGAAAATGGTGGCATTACATATTTTTGTAAATCTATTTGTGCAACAATAAAGAGATTACCTCCTAAAACCCAAGAAGTTGCTAAAATAAACATTCAGCAATATTTAGCTGCTCTGGAATTTCCAGATGTTGTTTCATGAAATATAATTTGTTAACATTCTTTTAAAAACTTTCAACATTTTGTTATATGTAATTACTAATACTAATTTAAATAAAAATAAATATAAATACTAATTTAATATATTAATACAAAAATATATTATTAAAACAGAAAAATGGATGTGTTTTTTTCACTATTGGAAAAAAATTTGGTTTCCTGTTATATTGTGCCCACAACTTGTTACATAATTATGTTGCCATGACAAGGATCCACTTGGATGATTAAAATATTCTGTAAGCTTTAATCTCACAGTGCTAGCATCTGTTGTGCATCGATTGCTTATACATCGAGGTAAAATATTTAAAGCATTACCTTTAAGCGCAATTTTTCTCCAGTCTCCAGGAATAAGTTCACCAAAATTTGTTTCTAAATCAGCAAATCCAGATGGTGCATAGTGAATGCTGTCATTGAGTCTTAAGTAATTATGTAAACAAATTGCAGTTTTTACGATGTTTTCCATATTTTTAGGGGTTGCTTTAATCGGACGTCTAAATATTTTCCATTTAGCTATCATAATTCCAAAGGAGTTTTCAATTGTCCTTCTAGTCCTAGATAATCGATAGTTGAAAATACGTTCTTTGATTGTTAAGTTTTTACCAGAAAAAAGTTTCATTAACCAAGGTTTTAACGCAAAAATAACACCAACTGGCACTGGTGGTACTTGTGTACCATTTGATAGCTGTCAGTTCTTGGTAAGTTTGAGCAGACTATTTTTAAAAGCTTTACCCATTTTACTTTGATTAAATAAAGATGCATCATTATCTCTACCATAGCTACCTATATCTACCAAAGTAAAGCAATATCTTGCATCACATATTTTTTTTTTACTTTGCAATGTTCTAAGTGCCAGTAATGTATTGCAAAGTGCAAGCTAGCATTTTAGAAGATTAAACCTTTTATTATTTTCCATTTCTGAAAATCATTTATTCATATAATTATACAATTATATATATATATATATATATATATATATATATATATATATATATATATATATATATATATATATATATATATATATATATATATATATATATATATATATATATATATATATATATATATATATACAGGGCCGTAGAGAGCCAAGCCGGGCCCCGGGGTAAATTTTTTGGCGGGCCCCCTTTATTTTACATTAATACTCATATCCATGTTGATGTGTCTAGATGTGTCTTTGATTAGTTAGGTTGGTCAACGAATCCTTTCATTTTTTTTAAACAAGTTGCATTTGTTAGAATTTTTTTTTTTTACATTATTCACCTTCCCAAGGCCGAGGGGTCACTATAGTCAAGGAGGCTACTCATTTTTTTGTGTTTTTATTTTTTATTTTTTATTGTTAATTGTGGTACAACCCTCTCTCAACTCTTTAACTCAGAAACACGAACTTTGGCAAGCAAGGCCGCTGCGGGGAGTTACTAACTTTATTTAGCAAAACATTTTGTAACAAAAAGCTTTTTAATTAAGTAGCCTTTTCTTTAATATTTTTACTATAAGTAAATAACTTGATATAATATAAAAAAGAAGAGAATGTAAATTAAAATAAAAAGTATTAATAAAGACTCTAATTTCTCTAAGAGAGTTTTACAGACAAACAAGAATATTCTTTGGTTTTCTTTAAAAAAAAAGAATATTTTGAATTCTAAGTGTTTAAAATAAATAATTGTATTTAATTGTACTGCAATAAACCATAATAAGCTTTGCGAGATTTTTTGCTTGCAAAAAGTCCGATAACTGCATCAAAGTCTAGTTTCCTTGCAAGTGGCGCCTCAACCGCTAGTCTTCCCAAATTAGAAAGTCGATCTTGACACATCGTAGAACGTAAAACATTTTTAACTCTTACAAGCGTGCTGAAAGAGCGTTCTGCTTGTGCAACGGTAACTGGAAGTGTACAAAAAATTCTAAGAACAACTAAAATGTTTGGGAACAGAGAATCAAGCTTCAACTCATGGATTTTGTTTAATAATTGAAACGGCGATAATTGTGTTATGCCAAGATTTGATGCGTGAATTGCCTTTAAATGTTCTAACTAGTCTATTAAATTGAGAGAAAAATCAATGCTGTATTTAATGCAAATAGATGAAGCTTTCTCACGCAGCAAATCTTTATCTAATGTCATGTATTTCCATACAACACCAAATGTTTCCTCAAGATCTTTGGCAGCCTCAAAACGCTGATTTATATTACCAATGACACAGTCTAAAAAAACATAAAAAACATCGCGCTTGAAACAAAATTTTGCACTGGTGTTGCCTAGTTTATTATTCTGTTCCTCATCTGAAAATCTAGCTTTTCGGCTGCATTTTTTCTCCGGGAATATGTCATTGGAAACCATACCCAGATTTTCGGCAACAAGTTTACATTCATTTAAAATTGAATCCCAGTTGTTACTCAATAACAAGAGGTCATCAATTAAGCTTTTTAGATTTAAAATCTCCACATCTTAAGTTGGATCTCCGGCTTGCAGAACTGTGTTTCGGTAATTGATGCTTATTAGAATTTAAACCAAGTGCTTGCGAGTATAATGCACTCAAATGAACCCAAGTATTTCTCAATACGTTTGATATCTGATCGAGTCTCGGCAGTAAGATTTAGCTTTTTAAGTCTTGGATAGCACTCTTTAAACCAGGAATATGTTCTGCGAAAGGTTTAACACTTTCAATCCTGGCTGACCAACGTGTATCTGACATGCTATACAAAGAGCATTGTTTTCTTTTAAAATTTGCCATCTTTGCGGGCCAGAGCTGAACAAGTTATAAGTCTTTTGCACAACACGGAAAAAGTTTATAACCTCTGCACAGCACTCTGCGGCATGCACACCACACAGATTTAAGCTATGACAAGCACATGGAGAATAAATTGCCAATTGGTTCTCTTTAATTATCTCTGCTTGTGCTCCTTTATATTGACCGCTCATGTTGCTACCGTTGTCATAGCCTTGACCATGACAGTCTATCATTGGTATATTGTGTTTTTTAATAACACTGCAAATTAATTCAGTAATGGCTTTCCCCGTTTTCTGATTGCAGTCAACAAACTCTAGAAATCGCTCTTGAACTTCATAGAGACTATTTTCTTCATTTAAATAAACATAACGCAATATAATTACAGTTTGTTCCGTATGTGCTGAATCAAGGGTTGCATCAACAAGTATTGAGTAATATTTTGCTACTTCTCGTTCACTTAGAATAAAGTCTAATACTTTATTCTAACAACACTCTATAAACTCATTTTGTATTTCCGGTGAAAGGTAATTTGCTTGTTGTCTTCTCTTCAATTTCTGCGACTTCATCACTTTGTTCAGATGGTCTTTCAAGACAGAATCATAATGGCTCAAGAGCTCTAAAATGCCCCAAAAATTGCCATTTGCTGCAACTCCAACTAAATCACTTGTTCCTCTAAATCCCAAACCTCGTTCGGCAAGAAACAATGTGACATCTAAAATTCGGCAAAGAACCTGTTTCCACTGTGATGCTTGATTCTTAATGGTCAGCAGCAGCATAATATCGACAGTGGAATTAGAGTAAATACTTTTTTCCAATAGCCGCCATTTAATATAACAATATTTATGGTTGCTGCTGTTTTGATGCTCTAGAATTTTGTCATGTGATTTTTTTCATTTTCTTTGAAAACACGTATCAAACGTGAGCGACTTGCTGTTGGTAGTTTGCTAAAAAGGCGACAAGGAAAACAAAAGATCGATTGTTTAACTTTGATCCAAACAAGCCAATCACGAGGAACATATTCTTCATTTTTCATACTTGTATGTAGTATACAAACAGGAAATGAATGTCCGTTCACATCTTTAGGAAATTAAGATGGGATTTTTTCTTTTTTACCCCTACGAACTGCTTCCTCAATTTCAGAAGCATTTGGTCTTTTATTTTTTAGACTACCAACATCGAAGTCAAGCAGTTTTGTAGTCAAGCAGATTAGGGTTATATGAGCACCTTAAGCTAAAATTAGAATATTTTCAAAAATAATTTTGCTGGATCTAAATTTTTGCGAATAAACAATTTTTAGGGTTCCTTACTCATGTTCCTCTTAGATATTGGGGCATCTGGAACTTTTCTTAAAAACACAGAGGTTTTAAAAAAGTAGCTAAAGTGCTCATGTTACCCAGACCACTTGGTAATATGAGCACTTTAAATTAGCTCAAAAAAAATAACATTAATTAAGTAAAAAAATAACAACCTGACTATTTGAATTAATTTTTGGAATATAATGATTCGTTATTAACAAAACTTATCATTAAATGATCAAACTTTAAGCCACTTTTTGTTAAAACAGTAACAACTATTTTTTTCGCAAAAAAATAAAAAAGATAAAAAAATTTATTCGTTACTTTTTCAATTTTATTAACTCAAACCTTTAAACGATAAAAATTAACATTTTTTGAATTTAAATTACAAAAATATTGTTGTGTTGTTTTTATTCAAAACCACTGCTATCTTAGGATGTTAAACCACTGCAATTTTAGGAGGTAATTTCAATAAGAAAAAACTGGGTAATTTGAGCATGTCATATTACACAAAAATAGCATCTTTAAATAAAGTCAAAACTAAATGTTTCTATGAATTGTTTTTCAAACAAAAATTGGTTGGATTTTTAGGTAACTTTTATTAAAAAGTTTATAAAAAAATTAGTTTTATTATTTTAACACCAAAATATTGCGCCACAGATTTATTCGTGCGTGAAGATAGTACCTAAAATAATTGTGTAAATGCGTAAAGATAGTACCTAAAAAAAGTGCGTGAAAATAGTACCTAAAATAATTAAACTGAAAAAGTCATCACTCTCTCTTATTTTTCTCTCTTATTCTCTCTTTTATTATTAAATTAGACTCTCTTTTATTATTAAATTAGACTCTCTTATTTTTGTCTTGATTTATTTCTTATCTATAAATATATATATATATATATATATATATATATATATATATATATATATATATATATATATATATATATATATATATATATATATATATAACTAAAAAAAAATGTTTATTTATATATCTTATTATACGATTTACTACTTGTAATATATTGTGTCGTATTTTGTAATTTTTAACTTGTTACATAAACTGAAGGCAACAATGTAAAAGGGGCTTGGCGATAAGACAATATACGTCTTCTTCTTGCTCCGGCCATATATTATATATGTACGATCTTTCTTATTGTAAATTTTATCAAACGGCAAAGAAAAAAAAAAAAAAAAAAAAAAAAAAAAAAAAAAAAAAAAGATATTAATTTAACAACGCAAAAAATTTAACAGCGTTTTAATTGGATAATAGCCGCTAATTACTGCATATAAATTTACACTAATTGTACTGACTCCTGTTATCACCGCATAAAGTCGATTCAAAAAATACAAAGCAACTTTAACTTCACTGCATACATCTTAGAATTCTTTAAGTATGCTCATATTACCAAGGGGCTCAAATTACCCTAATCTAACCTATATATTTTTAAACAGTTCAAATTTAGCAAAAATGTTTCTTTATTTTTGTGTTTCATTAATTAATAACGTCGTTAAATCAAGAAAAAATTGTAAAGTACTGTAAATATTCAAATAAATCTTTTTATATACAATTTTAGAATTTTCAATAAATTGTAGCCCTATATAATAGACATTGAAAAATGCTCCTTCCCCTGGTAGTAGGTAAAATCCGAACTGCAAAATGCCAACTACGAACCGGTAAAATGCGAACTTTATTTTGCAAACCAAGACATTATATTTAAATGGATATGATAAATAAAAAAACATTTGCTCACCAATTTTTTCATTTATGTTTAACCAAATGGAATTTGATATATTTTATTTGAATTAAGTTGTATTTCTTTTTCATTTAATATAATTTATGCTTGAAGTACATAAAATATATAGAAAAATAAACGATTTAACGGCAAACGGAAAATAAAAAATATTACATCATTAACAACCAATAGAACCATTGTTCGTAAAAAAAATTGCATTTTACCGGTTCGAAGTTTGCGACTACCCATTTAGGGATGGAAGTGCAAATTATGTTTAAAAAAAGCTTGCTCAATAAACTTCAATATTCTTTGTAAATAACAGGATTAAACTTTTTTTTTAGAAAATTTTGAAAACTATTATAGTTGATACTTATAGTTACAACAAAAAAACTCAACAAAATAAAAAAAAAGTGTTTTTCAAAATCTAAAATTTTTATAATCTACTTCACAATATTTTACCATAATTATTCATAACAACTGTCTAAAATTTTATGAAGACATACATTTTTACCCATTAATTACAAAATAGCATACCCTTTTTTGAAAATTTCCAAAATTTCCAAAAATTTTTGAAGTTAAAAATTTTCGGGAAATTTTCATCCTTAGGCAAAATAAAAAAGAAAAAAAAAATCAGAATACTTGTTTATTGTAAAATTGGGCTAAGTTATTAATCGATTTTCAGATAATTTTTTCAGTTTAATCGAAATTTTTTTTACGCGTAACAATTTTTGTTTAGATTGACTTCTAAAATAAAGAATTACGTCATTTCCCGGTAGATGCTAAATTCTAAAAGCTATTCGAACCTAGTTATACTGTTTGTAAAATTGAAACTTGTAGCCGCAAAAGTGCAGTTTTTATTTCGTTGCTAATTAATGACTATAATAATATTTAGTATAAGTGATGGAAATTGAAATATGTGATTATAACAAATGATAATGTTTTACAGCGTTTAGAGTATTGCAAATATCAACTTGAAATATGCATTTTATTAACAAAATCAACATTTCAAAATCTCCAATTAACTTATATTCTGGTCATGATTTTACCAAAAATTCGTAACCTCGATGCAAAATATTACATACTACCGATTACCTCAGTTAGCACAACTTTATAAAATTTGAAGAATATATAAATAATAATATCAATTTAAAATGTAGCTCCATGTTTTCTTATAGAAAACATGTTATTATTTTCATGCCTTGCTAGCTTATTGTTCAATGTTGCTTCAGAATTAATTCCAGGGAGAATAAGCTACGAAGTTCCTGTAACAAATACAGAAACATTAGAAAAACAGTCCGAAATAGATTGTCCTGACGAAGTGAGGTATACTTTTTCTGTATTTACTGACATATTTGAATTTATAAAATTACTGACACATTTAAATTATGTATCAAAATTGAAAAGTTTGTGTGTTTGTATCACCTGTGCCTTGGTTTTAAACAAATTTATAAAAAATAGACCTTTTTTTTATTATAGTATTTCTTAAAAAATGTGTGAAATGAGAAATGGATATGTCTTGATATACTATGCCAATATGCATATATGATTAAATATAACACTATGCATATATGATTAAATATAACACAGAAATAATATATATTGATGCAGTAGTTTTAGATGTAATACCAGATTAGTTGACACTAGTCTGGTTCTACATAGTTGTTATTGTGAAGGTTTGTCAATTTGTATTTATTTATTATTTTAAAATCTTGCCTGTCTGTGAAGAATATGTATAGCTGCATTTTTATATTTTTGATAATTTTAACATTAATTTCGGCATGCTTCTTTTACACACATTTCTTGATCAAACTTAGTTCTAGTGTCTTTTCTCTAGTTCATTAAATTCATAAGTTTTATTTTTGTTGCTGGGCAACTAAGAAAAAATTAGTTGTACCTGCATGCAAATAATGCCTACCAATAAAAAAATGTATTAATTTGCCAACGCTATTATATGACCATATATATATTAGGTACGAGTGGTTTTCATCAATTGCTTCAAGGAGTAGTACCTTTAAAGCGGTTTATTTGTGTTGATTTTTCATAATTATTTTTCAAATAAGATAGTTACTAGTTAACTTTAGATTTTTTTATTTTTGAGTTAACTCTTATTATTTTATAAACATACTGCTCACTTACTGTTACTTAATATATATATATATATATATAAATTCTATGAAAAAAATATGGCGGCATTTTTAAAAACTAAAAAAAAGTTCTCAATTTTAACTTGGTTGGTGCTTAAATACAGTTGAAAGTAATGGTCAAGAATAACCCCTGATATATATATATATATATATATATATATATATATATATATATATATATATATATATATATATATATATATATATATATATATATATATATATATATGTATGTATATATATATATATATATATATATATATATATATATATATATATATATATATATATATATATATATATATATATATATATATATATATATATATATATATATATACAACCTTCGGAATTAAGAAAAATGAAGTTGGCAATAATTTGCCAAACTCAATCCTTTTGAGGTCGGCATCAGGTCGGCAAAAACAATTTGATACAAAGGTGTCACCATAAAACATAAAAATAAGGTCGACAATTTTTTGCTGACCTCAAACACTTTTAGGTCGCAGTTAAATTGGCATTGCAGAATGCTGACCCTAATTCCGAGGGTTGATATATATCAAGCCTTCCTGGGAAGCGCATAAGTTTGTACACCTTGTTCTTCCACGATTAAAGTAATTTTTTTAGACAAACTGACCATGGCAGTTTGTACCTTTTAACTTAAAAAATGTTTTAATAATTTGCGGAAAAAGCTAAACTTATCTACTAAGATAAAAAAAATAATCCTAAAAAAAGAAAACAGAATTATTACAAAATATCAAGTTAATATAAACGAACTAGTAAATTTAATAGTTAAAAAAAGTAAATGAAATTTTTTTATTTTTTAATAAAATTTTTATACAATTTTTGTATTCTTTTTTTTAGAGTTGTTGTTAAGAAAAACATCTTTTATAACGATTTAACCACAATTGAAAGTTTTGATATGCAATTTATTCATGATTTTTATCAGTCCATGTAATTAAGAAACTAATTTGCTATGTAACTATAACTATAAGAAATTTTGTTATTTTTTTTCTTATGTTTATTCGTTTATTACGTTTATTTGTTTTTAATGTCTTTTCGCTTTTAGATATGTTTTTGCTATATTAGGCTTTTTTTCTCAATACTTATATAATAGGAAAATAATAAAATAAATTGTTATTTGTTTGTAAAAGTTTTTTTATTAAATTTTGTAATGACAGAAAAAGTTAAATAAAAGAATAACATAGTTTCTTTAATAAATGTATTTTCAGCATTTGATACATGTCTGAAATTATTTTTTTTATATTGCCTAATTTCCAATGTTAAAACAAATCACAAGAGATAATGAATCTAACGATTACTCTTATTGAAAAAAATGTATTTAAAAACTTAAAAAAATGTTTTAAATAGGCTCCTAAAAATTTTTTAAAAAAAGTTCAGTAAATTAGCAATTCACTAGCCCACAAGATTTTGGAGCATCTTTTTTTACATGAGAAACTTGTTAAAAATTTTTTTTTTACAAATAAATAGCAATTAGTTTTTTTGCTTTCCTGTGCATTGATAAAAACTATAAAGTTTAGCAAAAACATTTGAAAAAAAAATTTAAAAATGGTTCGTGTTTCTAGAGCAAATTATAAAGTATTTCCTTAATATACTGACTGCAAAAAAATTATATATCAAAAAATGTTTTTTTTTTTCGTTATATTCTTATCTACTTTTTTCCTTGACTTGTATCAATTTTTGTAATGGAAAATAACAAACGCCCTAAAAATAAGAAAACAAAAAGAGTAAAGTATTTAGGTTTATTATTTTTTTGACAACAATTTTCTTTTTAATATTCAATTTTTTTTTTTAACTTATTTTATGGACGAACAAGGTGTGTGACTGCACACACTTCCTGGGAGACTTATATTTGTATAGCACATATATATATTATATATTTGTATAGCACACATATATATATATGACAAAGCAAATGAGATTTTGTTTTGATAATATATCTGAATATTGTTAAATTAAACAAAAAGGAGAAATGTTAGGAAAAATATTAGGAAAAAATTTTAAATATATTGTTTGAAACAAAAAATTTCCTTATTTTAAAAAACTCATAATTTATTTCTTAAAACATTTATAACACAACATTATTGTTTGCTTTCTCACAATTGTTTATGGGTGAGTTTCTTGAAAATTTAATAAAAATTATCAAAATTTTTTTTTAATCTTTTGGCTTAAACAAAATCTTCATTTATCAAAATTTTTACTCATAAACTAGTTAATTATTTCTAATTGATGATCAACCTAAAAAATTCATAATAATTACAAAAATTTTAAAAAAGCAAAACTAAATTTAAACTAATTTTAAAAATAAAAAAAATCATCTTTTCGCTATGTTATATGATGTTTACAAAAAAAATTTTTAAAATAATTTTGCCTGCAGGCTTGATTATGGTTTATCCAGCCATAGTCATGAAAAGAATAGTCTGGAAACGCAGGCCGTTTTTAACAGTTTTAATTGTTCAAGTAGAAAATCGGGTGGTCCGAAGGAATAAGGTGCAAAATAAACTTAATGATGGCCAAAAGTTCAAAAGATTTATTTTGAGCGCATTTTCGAGATAAATCAAAATAAGCTTGGTGCTATTTTTGCAGTTATTGACCAGGATTTGCAAGTGATGTTGTTGAAAAACAACATGATTCGCATACACCACAAACAACATTTTCGTGTCAATTTTTGTGTAATAAAAAATATTTGAGCTCAAGGGGTCTCACTTGTCACACTAATAGCAAACATTCAGATGCCTTATTAATTCATTTGGAAGTTTTAAGAGATACTGAAAAATCTAAAATGCCAGAAGAAATACTTGATCTTCAAGAATTTTAAGAATGTTTGGAAGGAGGTGTTGCAAAACTTTCATCAGATAACTGCTTTGAAGAATCTATACAAAATATTTTTAAAGCCTATGTGATTAATTTTGATATAGCTAACATAGCATATCAGTTTATAAAACCGGTTTTATCTTTATTTCGAGGGAATGTCGAAAATTTTTATCCAGATTTCTACAAATGTATCTTTGACAACATTGATTGTATTTTTATAGGATTAAATACACAGTGTTCCACATTACTTGGACTTGAAGTATGTAACCATGTATTGTCGCATCTTTCTGGTCAGTCAGTTCTAACATTAAATTTCACCTGAAAAAGCTTGTGTACTTTCAAATAGAGATCAATTTGTTATTGCCTATCTAAGTGGGTATGTTTTTAGTACATTATATCGTTGTATCAGGGTATCAGGTTTTCAGATATTTATAAGGAAGAATATTATCAACAGTATGTCTATTTTACTTGCTGCCCAATATCAAGGAAGTGATGAGTTAACGTAACAGGCCAGGCTTATGGAAAATGAAAATTGAGGCAATATGCATTTTTATTACTGCTGAAACAACTTTAAAAATATGGTTAGTAAGTCTATCAATAAAATTGACAATAAAGAAATTGAATTATCAATTCTCAAAGACACAAATATTTTATCTAACTTTTCCAAGATCAAAAGTGAAGCTGATGTTGTTGTTAACAATGAGGTTTGTTTGAATGTTCTTGAGGTTAATCATAAAAGTTAAGTTATTTTATATTCTTGTGTTTATAAAGTTATTTTATATTCTTTGTTTGAATGTTCTTGAGGACATCTTAAATTTGTATGTGAGAGCAAGGACATTTTCCTATGTCAAGGATAATCTACAAGCTTATAAAGTTAAAGTTAAACAACTTTAGTCCAAATCACTGTGAACTTCACTTAAGAAGAATGAGTAGTCAAATACAGGTTATATATAAGATCAGGAGATTAATTGCACATTTAAAAATTAGATACACTTAACTAATATTATTGTCTCAATTTTTTAAACAGCTTTTTTCATAGCTACAAATGGCTAAAAACATTTTATGGTATCAGAATATTAATAATAGTTTTTCAATAGAATATTTGTTGTTTTCATGAAACTATTCCAAGTGACGGGTAATTTTTATGTCTTTCTAGTCCTAAAAAAATGTTTCATTTAATTTTTTTAATTTTTATTATTCCTGTTACATTTTCTTTTAAGAAAATTTCAAAATTAATACTTCAAGTTGTCAAAAAAAGGGGGAATTTAAAAGCGTGTTTAAAACTGTATATATTTGTTAAGGACAGGGATGATTTGCTATTAAGGTCCAGATAAGCGCTGTCTGTTA